CATCATTCATTGCACTGATTGCACTCAGCACGGATTGCACACAGCTGTTTCATATCACTCCCTCACTATTTAACACTCACTCTGATCCCTTCCCTCTGCCGAGTATTGTTTAGCACGTATCTTTTGATAGCTACACTACAGAGCCCTCATTAGCCTCAGCCTTAGCCGTTTTCTCGGTTTCTGATCCTTGCCTGGTTTCCTGGACTTATCCCTTTAGTCTCGCCCTTTTTGATTGTTCGCCGTTTGTTGACCTTCGCTAGCCCTAGGATTATTCTTGTGTCTTGCCCGCCATATACCTGTCTGCCATTATCTGACCCATGCCTGTTTTATGACCACGTCTCTGTCTTCTCCTCAATAAAAGCTTTGCATATGGATCCACATGTCTCACGTCTCGTCAGCCCCGTAACAGTTGTCCTTTTATATCAAAATCAAAGGACAGGTTTCTTTAGAACCGTTTTGGACTGTTTTCACTTGTAAACAGTGCTTGATCTGTGCATATTTCTCTCCTGATTCAGATCAAAAAAGCAATATTGTAGATAGAGGATTGTAGCCAGAAGCAGTTGTTTGAAGTTAAAAACGTCTTGATGGATTTGTTTCTTTAAAAAAAATCATCTTTTGGCTTCACAAGACATTAATTGCTGGAGTGGAGTGGATTATTGTGATGTTTTCATCAGCAGTTCGGACTCTCATTCTGACGGCACCCATTCACTGCAGAGGATCTAGTGGTGAGAAAGTGATGTAATGAAACATTTCTCCAAATCTGTTACCATATAGAAACAAACTCATCTGCATCTTGAATAGAGGAGCATATTTTCAGCAAATGTTCAGTTTTGGGTGAACTGTTGCTTTAAGAGTAGCCACAGGTGTTAGACATTACTGGTCCAGATGATCCACTGAAGTCTGAAATCCACAAAGTGTCAGAATACTTTTCTCATGTTCAGTATTTCAATACCTCACCAAAAATGTTTTGTGAAATCTTTCTATAAAATAAAAGCTCCTTGGTTTGATATTTCATATGACATTTTGTATATTTATGTATGCTAATTCATCTAAATATCACCTCTATTCTAGGATGGTTAATTGGTGTTCAAAATATTTTTTAGATTTCAGTCATTTGTTTCATGAAATATCATGTTCCTTCAGTACACACTGTACATACAGTGGCCCTATAAAGAATTAGTGTACAAGTCAGATTTTTATTTATAGGTAGATGCACATGTAATTAATAGATTACTTCATAGATTTATTGCTTTTTATTATTTTGTTAAATTGCATTGAATTCTAAGATGTTTTTTCCTTTGAATAGGAAAATTGCTGCTGCTCACCAGCATATTCAGAAAATCTAGTTTACATTTCTGTTATTACATTTTTGAGATATTTAAAAATGAAAATGAGTCATATCTTACAGTAACATTCTGGGTTCAGTACAAGTTAATACTTTAGTACTTCAATTTGCACAAACAAAAACCATGTGTACAGTAAAGCACTTACGTTAGATTTTTGTTTGTTTTTACAAACTCAGGGATGTGGTAACTGTCAATACATCAACAGATGCTGTCTGTTTGTTCTTTTAACGCACTGGATTTTGTCTTTTTTATTTATTTATTGCTATGCCACATTCAGAGGTGGTATCGTATCTCGTCTACAATTCCTTTTTATTAAAAATGAATTGAGTTCATTGAAATTAAGATATATCTTTGACCCTCTGGGCCTCTTCATTTAGGGGTCACACTTGGCTCATTCGCGGTCAAAAGTGACCAAAGCCTTGAAATGTAACTTTTTTTTTTCAGGAAAATCAGTGTAATACATTTTTGTTTAATAATATTTTTTGATGATTATTTAGAATTTTGAGGGGATTTTTTTTATGACACAATGCGATATTTATACATATACAATATTTTTATGAGCAATTTTTTTCCATTAGAATTGATATATTTTTATTTATTTATTATATTTCAATAAATGCAATGGTTCATGTTAAAACAGAGTGAAAACATTTAAAAATCATTTTTTTGAAGTGAGAATTGTGCCATCTGGTGGCATAAAAAATAAAAACTTGTGTAATGTCATGTAAACTCCTGAATAGTTCCCTATACACAGAGGCCTTTGGATTCTTATTGTTTTTTAGACATAATTTCTTCATTTTATTAGGTTTTACTTTTAGATATATATTTAGACATTCTAAAAGACTACATTTTGTCAAGGTTTAGATATTTTTGGTTAGATAAATATCAAGTTTTGCATTATGATTTCAATCAATCATTGAATATTCTCAAAATTTGCTCTGTTGCAGCAGTCTTACCTGTTCATTTCCGTGTGTGTGAGAAGTTAATTTCCGTGTGTGTGTGTGAGAGAGAGAGAGAGAGAGCATCTTTTGTATTGTTTTCATTTATTAATTTTATTTCACATATTCTAAAAAAAATTGCTCTGTTGCAGCAGTCTTACCAGTTCATTTCTGTGTGTGTGTGTGTGTGTGTGTGTGTGTGAGAGAGAGAGAGAGAAAGAGAGAGAGGCTTAATACAACTTTTATTAAAACCTTAACTTTTTTCCAGATTTCTTATCTGACCATATAATAATTAACAAAATCGCATATGATAATACATTCAAACATATTCACATTTATACATTTTTTCTATATATACTTATAAATACACACATTTCTTTAAAACTTTAAAACCAACATACCATTTTCCAAAACTCCTCCAACAGACCATATTTCAGAAAACATTTGAATATCATTAATCAATCTAAAATATGTGTATTCAATTCTGATTCTGGCACTCACCATGCTTCTAAAAATATCTACTGAACCTATACCCGTTAACTTATTTTTAACTTATTTACTTCCAAATTGCCATTTTAGCCATACCCAGCAAAAAGTTTAATAAGCATACTTTTCTTCTCTTATGAAATGTATATTTGGAACCACTAATATAATATTGATTAGAAAAATCTTCACTTAGACCTTCAAAACAGTTCTTTAAAAAAATTTAAAACTGTCTAACCTCATACAATATATACTGTAAATAAATGTTCAACTGTCTCTTCAATTCAACAAAAAGGACATTCCTTACCCACTGCTGGATTCAGGTGTGCCACGTGTCTGTTCGTAGCTATGATACCATGAACAAGTCTCCACTGTAGGTCTGCTGTACGTTTCTCAATAGGAGGTTTGTACAGAGACCTCCAGGATCCTCTAAAGTCTGGCCCAAACACATCTGTCCACCTCCCTACTCGTACCCGGTTTAAAACAGTCTGATGGGTAACTTTAACACAAGTAATATAGATGGGTTTCTTGCTTCACAAAACTGTCCCATCTCCGGAGTTTTAAAAGATAGTATTGTGTCAGCATCTTCATAATTTTCATCTGCTGTGGCAGATATACTAATGGATGGAAA